CTCCTCCTTCCTCCTCCTTCTTCTTCTCCTTCTTCTTCTTCTTCTCCTTCTTCTTCTTCTTCTTCTTCTTCTTCTTCTTCTTCTTCTCCTTCTTCTTCTTCTTCTTCTTCTTCCTGCTTCTTCTGCTTCTTCTTCTTCTTCTTCTTCTAATGGAATTAGACTCTACTAACTTTGAGGATTTGTCAGAGTCTGACCTTGCAGACTTTGATGAATCACTGGCGCTTCTAACTAAGTCGTTTAGAAGGTTCGCGAGGAAAAGTAATTTCCACAGATCTCCTACGCTGACCATTAAGGAAATGCTTCAGATACTGTTGACAAGGCTTCAATGATCTATTACAGTTGTCACCGTAAAGGTCACTTTGCAGGTGAGTGTAGGTCAAAGAAGACTGCGATGCCATCTTCAAAATCCCCTTCCTCCTTCAGAGCTAAAGATGATAAATACCTAAAGTTGAAGGAGAAATATAAGAAGATGAAGAGTTCCCAGCGAAAGGCCAAAGGTCTTGTCACTGAAGAGCATGACTAGGCTAATTCGTCTGATGATTCATCCTCTGATCAGGAAGACATGACCTATCTTTGCTTTATGGCCAAGGATGTCAAAGAAGAAATTTTTGAGACGTCAACTTCCCATGATCCCTCATCATCCTCTCCTGCTCAGGTATGTCTCCTGAAGGCAGGGCCGGCCCTGGCCACGTGCAGCCCATGCGGCCGCACAGGGCATCAAAGCCTAAAGGGGCATCAAGTTGTCATTTTTTACTAGTTTTGAGTTTAATAATTTGGGAATTGGACAACTGAGCTTTAACAATAAAAACAGACCCAAGGCCTAGTAGTGATGAATATTGAATGCACATCGTAGGAAAAAGTTGGAAAGTTGGAAAAGTTTTTGTTTGTATAAAGTTGTCTGTATGAATTAATTTGTTTGTATAAGTTGGAATTTTTTTTTGTTTGAGAGAGTTTTTTCACAGATGTAATGAGTGTTTTTTAGTTGGAAGGGACATGTTTGGAAAAAAAACTTGGTTTTCTATATAAAGCTCCTCCTAGAAGCTTACTGGATAAGTCACTTTCTATATCATTAAGCCACTACGAAACAGTCATGCATAGTTGAGCGAATAAGTTGTTAGTTTCATTAAACTTATTAAGCTACTAACAGATAAGCCCTTAGCCTTTAGTCGTTAGACCTGTAACTTTTGAGTTTTACTTTTTGCTTACTATGACAGTAATTTGGATGTGATTTACTATTTTAGTTAAAAACTAATTATAGTTTTCCTTGTCTTTTAAGTCCCATATATTGAAATAAAGTTTCTATGTTGCTAATTTCAATTTGGAAAAGGGAAAACTGGAAAAGAATGAAGTATGATCTTAATTCAAAATTTATCATTTTCTATTTTGTATTCAGGGTTTTGGTTTTTGTGTCCCCCCTATATTTCTTTTTATTATAATTAATAAAAATCAACATGATGATGAAATACTTAGCTTGAATAGGTTATAAACTTTTTAAACATTTGCAAGTTTCATTGTTTCATTGACTTAAAAAAAATAGACTTAGGGGCATTGATTATTATTTTCGCACAGGGCATCAAAAATCTTAGGACCGGCCCTGCCTGAAGGAACCCTCTTCTTCTTGTTTTTCTACTTTATCAGCGTTAGATACATTGACGGTGGACCTTTACAATGCCCTGAATGACAAATCTAAAGCAGAAATGCTTAATCTTGATCTTCAAGAACAATTGAAGATTTGTCATTCCAAGACCAAAGAGCTGACTAAGATCGAAGAAGATCTTAAAGATCAGGTCATGGTAAACCAGACCATCACTATTGAACATGCACATGCTATTGTTGAGTGTAAGCAAGCAATTGCTGAACTCAGGGCTGAAAAGGCTACCATTAAAGGATGATGAAAAGCCTCTGTCAAAGCCTCTGGGATCATTAACGCTCAAATCCCTGCCAAGATAAAGACTGGTCTAGGTTTTTCCTATGATCAGGAAGACAGTGTCACTGACAGGTCCATGCTCAAGTTTGGTACCTTTGTCTTTTCTATTTCTGACACTTCTTCCTCTCAGTCATCTCTTACTGAGAGTCATCTTGAAGGAACTCCTTCGAGTTCAGGTTGCAAAGACAAAGGTAAGTCCATTATCACAACACCTCTTTTTAATAAGGCTAACAAGTCACGTAGATCTAAATCTATTCTTTCAACTTGTGCACCTTCTTCTTCTTCTTCATCAGGGACCAAGATATTTGAATCTTCTCAGAGATTTAAGTCTAAACTCAAGGTGAATGCTTCACTTAAGGACTTTAAATTCTCAAAAGATCCTCCTAGAACAAATGAGAAGGGAATCCTTGGAGCTTGTCCCTCTTATTCTCTGGTACTTCCTGAACCTATAGCTAGCCTCAGCTATAGGAAGTGTAGACACTGTGGTGAAACTACACATATTGCTAGTAATATCCTTCTACCGCCAAGGCTGGTCCCCCAGCCAAGGGCAAGAAAGTAGCCAAGGCTGAGAAATCTACCAAGGCGAAATCTACCACTAAGGTTGTTAAAACAACTAAGGTGAAGATGTTAGACCCCATAATTCTTATTGTAAAAGTAATGAAAAATGTACAAGTATGGAAGTCCAGAGGACTGATGGAAGAAGAGCTGGAAAAGACCTAAGTGCTTAAGAAGAACCAGAGATGCGATGAATGGTCCATAGGTGCGATGAACTAAGCATCTCCATCACCCCTCTGGTTAATAACACTTAGCAGATTCATCGAGCGTTCAATCAGAGATATCCAAGTAAAGAAAATTTTTAAAGACTCCTGGTTGATCATACTACCTAGAAGACAGCTAGAGATGACTCATCGGTAGCTGGAATTCAGTTACATAAGGTAGTTAGAGATAACTCCTAAATTATAGATAGATATCTTTTCCTAGAATATCTCATAGATATCTTTTCACTATATTGTTATCTCTTAGACTAGATTGCTAGTATAAATAGCTCTCATATGTCTTGTAAATTATTCATTCATTCTCGATGAAGTTATTATAGTGAAATCATTTGAAGCTTCATATTCTCCTGAATATTTTATAAGTTGTTATTCACTATTCTTCATTCATACGATATATTTAGGTTCTATAACATAAATCTTCGTGTTATATTGAGAGATTTGGGATCAACAAAAGAAATCCACTGAAGCCTCCTCTTCAGGCTCAGTGAAGACAACTACTGATATTAAGTCTTTAACGTCAGGTGTTGTTGTTTCTCCTACCACTGAAGCCTTCTCTTCAGGCTCACTAAAGCCTTCTCTTCAGGCTCACTGAAGCCTTCTCTTCAGGCTCAGTGAAGACACCTACTAATTCTACTCCATTAGCGTCAGAGGTTGTTCCTAATCCCACTGAAACCTCTTCTTCAGGTTCAGTGAAGCCTTCTTCTGACATTGGTTCTTCAGTTTCAGTAGTTGTTGCCTCTAACATTGCTGGACCCAAATAGAATGGGTACCAAAGCATTTTTTAAATTGTTCCATTGTGCAGGAAGTCAAAGGCATTTGGTATCTCGATAGTGAATGCTCAAGGCATATGACTGGAGATAAATCCTTGCTTATCGATTACAAGGATGAAAGAGGCCCTTTCGTGACCTTTGGAGGAAACGGAAAAGGATACACCAAAGGTTTTGGTGTATTAACCAACAGTGCAACCACATTCAGGCGTGTTGCATATGTTGAAGGACTGAAGCACAACCTACTCAGCATCAGTCAGCTGTGTGATAAAGATTTCACAGTGAAGTTCTCTAAGAATTCATGCTATGTCTACGACAAGGATGATAAGGTTGCTCTAACCGACTCTCGTCTAGAGTGTGTCTACATCATCAACATGGATTCTCCTCTAACTAAGAATAGTTGTTTCCTCTCCAAAGCTTCGTCAGATATTGTTGATCCTCTCTCTTAGT